AAACATATCGTATTAACTAATTTAACTAACATCTTTAATTTACTCAAATTAGTTAATTAGATCCTACATTAAGTGGTGGAGTGTGTATATAAGGATCTAAAAATATATTATTGCAGGTTTTTTTATCTAACTAACAGAAGGTGGAATTTGCAAAATATACACCACAAATTGGAGTTTGTCCTATATATTAACAATGTCTCGTATAGAGTTTGTCCTAAATACAAGCAGCACATTGCGTTTGTGTAAAAATTAAATGCATTTTTTTAATTTTTATCTCCAATTTATTACGTGTCTTTCTCATATATATTTTTTATTTATTCTCTTTCATCTCTTTTCTACTTTTCTTTCTCACTCATTATTTTTGTATATTCGAAAAATTTACATATCTTACAGACTTATTATTTTTAACAAACTTTAACTACCATTTTGATTTGATTGTTTCTTACATATAGGATAGGAGGGATAAATAATAAAATTTAGTTTTTAAATGTTTTTACTATATTTTTTTTTATCAATTTAGGTTTTGATAATGAGCATTATTAAACTTTGGCTCCTTCTTCATTCCGATGTTGGAGAGATTAAAAAATATATATATATGAAAGTCCCGGAACCTTTCTGCAGATAAAGTTTTGTTTCTAGCTACTATCTCTTACAAATGTTAACCTTGAAAGTTACGTCATGTTAGTTTACAGCAATTTAAAATTAGTATGAAATAGTAGTATGATAATTTATTAATAAAATATTTTGCACATTATTTTTTTATTGAAAACATTTAATAATAAAAACCATGGCAACTGCCAAATGCAATCAAAGACAAGAAGCTGTTGGAAATGGTAAATGAATCAATGACCTGAATAAATAGAACCAGCCGTTAATTCTGCAATCACATAAAGAAGGGCACCGTAACTATAGTGATTTTAAAAAGTTCAATTAAATAATGGGTTATGAAATTTTAGATTAGAAATGAAATTTAAATTTCACAATTAAAAAGAGCAGACAAATTCGCAGTCTAACTCGTTTTATGAGTAAAAGAATTACAGCTACAAATCCAAATTTAGAACCTGAAGATATCGAAAGTGATTAACAAGTAAGATGTGACATGAAATAAGTCATTAATTTGGATAGTGCTCGTGGAAACTGATGGGTTCAAAAGGATTTTCATTTCAACATGTTTTTTCCCCCCGAACTTGTATGACTACATGGAGCTTGATATCTGGTACTTGTTTCTTTGTATATAATAGTTCAACTAAATGAATCTTTCACTCTAATGGCCTTTTTGTTCGAAACCTATCCTGTTTGTCTTCCCCACAATATATTCTCTTGTATTTTCTAGCTCCTCTGATTACATGTTCAGTCACCTGCAGAAAATTGACGCTCCAAATGCTTTGTGAGAAATCTGAGATTCAGAAACTTGCCTAGCTTCTTCTTGTTCTTCTTCGTGCTTGTGCTCTTCCCATCATAGCTTTTCCCACAAATATGAAAGCTCATGTTAGAGGCCAGACAAACGTCTACATATAAAATATATCTAACTTTGATCGTTGTCAAATCTCTATAGCTTGAAATATTCTGGGCCCAATTTCTTATTTACTTACCTGGTTTCATCATGTTGTTGGGGATTCCAACAACTTCGAAGATTCCTGGCTGATCCTCCGAATTTGTCATGTTTGCAAATCTGTGAAGTAACGTTATTATCATCGAGGACGTTAGAGTTGTTGGAGACAGTTTTTTGAGCTTGGTTCAGCATGACCATAAGGTCGTCGTTTGGATCTAAGGCTCCACACGTTATCAAGTTGCGAAACAAACCAGAAGCTCCCGTTGAAAATCTCTTGTTTCCTTTCAAGGGAGACAATGATGACAAAGAAGAAGATGATAATGATATCGAAAATGATGTGTCTGGGTTGTGTTTACCTGTGTCCACAAGTTTGTCTGGTTCAACCTTGCAAGATTCACTCTCATCTGGTAATGTGGACCTGTAAGAGCTTATTTCTGATGATAGCTGATCCAGAGAATTTGGTTTGAAATATGGAAATCTTTTGAGTTGAAGTTCTTCTGGTATCAATGGTTGATTCTGCTCCAGCTGCTTGCCCTCTGCATCATATACTTGAACAGGAATATCCTTGTTCAATATGGAAGCTTTCCTTTCACCAAATATAAAACTTTCTGCACAATCAAAGAGGCTTCTCATCAAATACTTAGTTATTCTGAAAATTGTTACTAAAGGACAATGCTGCGTTATTCCATGTCAAGGACATACCGAAAGAGAGAGGCTGCATTTGAGATGCTATGAGGACGTATTCATTATCAGAGATTGGGGCAATCAGATTATCATCAAATAAGTCTTGCCACACGCACCCTGTCTTGTACCTCCTGCTTCCAATTTGAATGCACAAATCACACACTTCAAAATCCTTCTCTCTCACTTCCCCAATCCACCTCTTCACATTTTTTATCGCACAGAGATCATAAATCATGAACTGTGTAAGTCAGAAACAGGGTACTACATCTAGAAAGACGAGCGTATAATTTGTAATCCCACCATCTAAAAGAATCACAATCTTCCTGATTCATGCCTTTTTTATCTGTTTGTGTCAACTCAATCTTGACTTACAAAAAACACTGAATAATGTGGTTTTCATGTTTGAAAGACAAGTCTAGAACCTTAAATAAACAGAGTATTAAAAGGCAGAAGAGAGAAGAATACAACATTGGAAGTGAGAATCAACAAATATGTCATGTGCAAGTGAGAAACAGAGTACCAAATACAGAGATTGAAAGTGAGAAAACGTTTCTTAAAATCTAAGATCAATGTGCAGGAAACTTCATGGGAATGAGGTGAAAGAAATAGAGAAGTTAAATCACCTCGAAGATGGACTCCATTACGAGCCAGATGATGAATGCGTATGAGATGCATCAAACTGAAGAAGTACACTATATGAATCCTTCTCACTTCACCACCTTTTCTTTCTTCCATCTCTTCTCCCTCTCTCTGCTGCAATCTCAAATCTCTCTTCCTTCAATTCAGAAGCTTAACTCTCTGCTACTTCATATATATACACTGTAGAAATCAGTTAACACGCGATAAGAAGAAAGATCTCTGTCTCTTATGGTGCCGGCTGCTACTAAAACAGGAATTGATAATAACCCAATATTTCCTTTCGATGTCTTGTTGATTTGTCGTCTTCAGCATGTTGACTTATGTTGAATTAAGTAGTTTGGTTTGCTGTATAAAGTGAACATAATGCAAGCCTGCTGAAAACAGTCGTACTTGGAGTAGCGCGCCTGTTTTCTTTAAATAATTTGAATATTCTCATGCCACACAGGAGGACTTCTAATTTTAAATGATTAACATATTTTACATAAACCATTTCTGTCGATTCATTCATTCATAACTATAATTAATAGTTCTTTTCGTCAAAACTTTACTCTTAAGAATAGTAAATTTTGTTTCTTTCTTTTTGTTGCCATTCATATGGCATCTTTGGTTTTTGTTTTTTAAAAAGTTTGATTACAAATTTCAAATTTTAATTTTGAAAATAATTCAACTAGAAATACGAAATACTTATTTGTACTGTAGGGTTGGCATTCATACTTAACATATAATGTCTTAATGAATGAATATGCCATGTGCATTTTTCGCAAATTTGTGGCCAAAATTTTAGAAGTTTACAATCAATTCTTATTTGTAATTGAAATACTTATTTTTTAAATATTCAAAATTATGTACGATCCAATGGATATAAAATTATAATGATTTTACCTAAACAAAAACGATGACAACTAAACGAGAATTGATAAATGGTTTTACTTCAAATATAACAACACATAATATAAAAACAACAAAAAGTACAAAAATAAATTACTATCTTTAAAATAATAATATTAACGATAATTTTTTCCAGTCAATTATTAGCGCATCTATTAGATCGAGCTATGTTAATTTGCAGAGATAAAATAGAAAAAGCCAGAATCAATGTGATTATGACATATGAACCTTCATAATAAGCCACATTTTCTACCTCAAGTCACTAATAATAAAAAATATTAAATAATTCTCAAATTCTCTAATTTGTCCTATCAGTAGAAACAAATATTACTCTCCAAAATGTTGCCCTACAAATAGAAACTGAGGACAACCAATTTTAAGATAATTTGCCTATGTAATTTGTCTTGAGTTGAATATAAATAATTCCCTTGAATAAGTGTTCGTGTCATTCGTCCAACAAATAGTTTAGTTAAAACAAGCAAGTAGTTGCATTACGAACTTAGTTTCATCATAAATGTACCGATGAAAATAGTGTAGTTGAACAAATATAGATGCAGACAATATAAATATAGAATCAAAAGCAGTTCTTAAATGATGGCTTAAAGGATGCTAGGCCTCATCACTTTCAGCGTCCCACGTAGCAAAAACTGTCTCCTACATATTTTTTTTTTTTTTTTGGACCAGAACTGTCTCCTACATATGACATCACCAAAAAGAATTAGAATAATTGAGACAAATGCCACAAACAACTTTGCAGCTATATTTAACTCAGTGAATAATTGAAAATATCATTAGCAACTTAGGAGATGAGATATATTCACAATGATTAATATCCCGGATTGAGTAGTAGCGCTGGTGCACACTTGTAACATTCAAATGAAAAAAAAAAATTAATTAAGAGATGATGAGGTTATATATCCCACAAATTGGCTTCCCTTTGTTGAGATTTATTTATGATATTCGATGTAGTAATTTATAACAAACAAAATGCCAATTATTGGAACATTAATTGCTTTTATTGGTAGGCATTCAAAAACTGATATGAGCGTGCAAGGTTAGTGATGATCACAAAAATCAAGTACAACGTAGGCAGATGGAGAGAAATAAAGAAGACAAAATGAAACATATGAATGATTATTTGAAGCACGGGGAGAAATAAACACAAACAGTAACGATATTCATCATAAACATAATATAAAAGTAAGTCAAAGAGTGGGGCGGACATGGACCTGATTAATCACTTTCGCCAATAGTACCCACCAAGTGGGATCTTCTGCATCGAAAGCACACTTCCATTATTTGAGATCGCTATCTGAGGGGGATTTAGTTTCTCGCACAAAGAAGCATCGAATGTTTGGAGAGAAGGGCAAAGCATGATGCCTTTGTATACGACATCTAATTGTGGCATCTTATCTAATTTCAGAGACGTCAAGTTGGGAAGAGTGATAGAAGGATGAGGACGGGCCATGAGGTCGCCACTAGCAGTAAGTTCCATTACAGAATGATCCTCTCCAACTATTTCTTTCATCTTCTTACAACTATAAACGCAAATGGTGCGCAGATTTTGGAGGAGTGCTAGTAACTTAAACGCTATCAGAGTCTTCATGCTACTGCAAGACGTAACTGTAAGATGTATGAGATGAGAAAATAGGGCGGATTGATCCAAGGAATCAGCATATGGTGACACCAAATCTTTCACGTTGTTCATTTCCAAGAGGTCTAGACGTCCAACGAGTTGGGAAGAGGAGCAAAAGGGGCAACTGCAACAACACAAGTACCCCGCCTCTTCACATAATTTAATATCCAACAGCTCAATTTGGTGTGGATTATTGTTGTGGACATATGATAAAATATTGCATAGGGATCTACCACCGATCCCTAGGAAACAAGCTATTATAAACAATTTCTTGATGTCTCTTGGGAGTAATACTGCTTCTCTATTTTTGAAATTCGTACCCTCAAGAATTATCATTTTCATAGAATATATTCTGTCTATTTTCTCCTCCTCCTCCTCATCATCATCATCATAAATTTCATGGTATAAAGTTAATTGATAGCTTCTGATTACACGATTTTCGGCCATGAACCTCACGAAGGCGTTGAAGACACTAATGTTAGGAAAGTGGGCACGTATAACTTCCAACTTTTCCAAACTTTGTGCACTTTGTACTAATGCATCCCTCAAGCATTGGGCCCGACCCAACTCAAGACACTCTAAATTGATCAATTTGGATATGAGAGATGGTGGTATTACCAACTTATCAATCTTGAGTAGATTCAAGCATCTAAGATTGACCAATGATTCCAAACCTACAGGTGCCTTAGTGATGGCAGTAAAAGATAGATCCAGTGATATTAACCGTTTCAGTGTTTCTAATGAAGGAATGTACCTCAATTCTGTACATCCTGAAAGTAACAATGCAATGAGACATTTTAAGTTGGACATTGACTTGGGCTGGATCGCAGTCTCAGACAAATCAAGTATTTTAAGAGCAGGCATGTTGTTGAAAAACTCATCTGTGATGTGGTTGAGTTTTACATTACAATTCAAAAGCAACATCGAAAGTTGAGTACACTTAGGACATGTGCCATTTGGAATTGTTTGTATGTTGTTTTCTGTTAGAAAAACTTGATGTAGATCTTCTTTCCATTGGTCATCACTTGGTATTTCTGTCAAATTCTTATAAGCTTTTCTCATAATTTTACCAGTGTCTTCTGCAATACCAGTAGCCAGGACTCTAAGAAATTTGTGTATCATCTAGTAATAAGTATACTCACAATAATCCAACATGCCGTGATTCTTTAATTTATGTAACATGTTGTAACCTTCATAATGCTGCACACTCAACTCCGTTATGTCATCAATGCTTTCATAAACAAACCTTCTTATCAAATGATCAGCATCGTCATCCAAAAAGTAACTTTCGGTACTAAAGACACAATACAAGAAGAATCTTTGCAATTTGTTATTTAAGAAATCATAGCTAGATCTCAAAACTGGAAATACCCATTTGTCCATTTCATATTGCCCTTTGCCCAAGTTTCCAAGGCATTTCAACATATGACTCCATTCTCTACCCTGCGTTTTTCCCTTCATGCTTGTCGTGATTCTAACAATAGCAAGGGGCAATCCCCGACATTGCTGTGTCACCTGCCGTGCAATGCCCTTCACTTTCGAAGACAATTCTTCATGGGATCCCAAAAACTTTTCAAATAAAGCCCAACCATCTTGTTCATTTAGAGATCCCATTTTATTACCTCCTTACAATTCATACCTTGACACACTTCCCCTATACGAGTGGTCAAAATCAATTTAATTTGATTATCTGACATAGGAAATCCGACGTCCTTTAGAAAAAAATGATCCCAAACATCATCTAAAATAATAACACTTTTTCATCTCTTTGAATGCTTGAAATAATTTCCTGGCAATTCTTTTAATCTCAAACTCATCAGATATATCCAACTTAATTGATTTGGCTATGGCTTTTTGCAACTTGTAGATGCTATTTTGTGATACAGTCACCCAAATAACTTTAATGTCACCACTAGCTTCTTCTAAAAGCTTGTCATGTATATGGGCTGCTAAGGCTGTTTTTCCTGAGCCTCCTATTCCCCAAACTCCAATTACTGACACCTCATCATCCATTATCCATTCCCATATTTGTTGAGTATACTTTTGAAACTCCTCCCCTATTAAATTTGCTGTAGGCAATATATAACCTTTGGAAGATCCGAGCAACAAGAATAGTAACAAATAATTAAGTAAAGATAGTGAGAAGAATAAAAAAATAAATTAAAGACATGGCTTTTAAATTTTAACCAATCATACATATACTCTCAAGAATTCAAAATGTAGAGCCACCGCGAAATTTAGGCAGCATTCAATATTTTTCCGGCTTGTCCCTCATTAAATAATCAAAAAAGTTTTGGAGAAGAGTGGCTAAGAGAAATATATAAGAGAGGGTTATAATTCAATGGAGTAACATTTGGAAGTTATCACAATTGTTTTGGCCAAGAAAAAGTTATGAAAATTTTGAAAAGGCTAAAAACTTCAACTAATTTTAATAAATTTTCATAAATGACATTTAAAAATGAGTTGGACATGTATTTTATATGCTGATACTCATACCTTTTTCTAAAGGATCATGTCCATTGGCTTCGTCAACTCGTAATCTTTTATTGCCTTCTTGCTTTTCAGCTTGTGCATGGTGGCGTCTTGCTTTGTCATATAGATTTTGTTTTTCTTGGTTCAGGTCACTGTTGAGCAACTTTGAAGCCAGACCATCCCTTTCTTTTTCACTGTCAAACTACATAGTTGTCCGTATCATTTATATGACTAAAAGAGAGCGCTTGCGTGCTCGTGAACTATGTGTGGGCATGTGTGAGTGCTTACCTATAGTTCTATGACTATGTTTGTAAGAGGTCATACCTGAAATGAAGAATTTCTCTTCGCATAATTATTTGATTGTTCCATGAACTTCATAAGAAAGATACCGCAGTCAAGTCAACAAGTTTGTGTGTGTGTGTGTATGTGTGTGTGTATGACAAGGTCATGATAAAACAATTTTCTAGTAAAGTTTGTATAATTTTACATAATAATCGTCAACTCACGCATTAGGTTGTTCGAGGATGCCCATTTCCATCTTGGAACGAAATTTCATAAATGCTACTTTCTGGACTTTCTCGAAGAGCTTTTCCATGGCAAGCAACTAGATATAAAGCTTATAAATAAAAAAATTTCCATATAATCAAAAGAATAATTTATTGATTAATGTTGTGAATATTGCAATAATTACTAACACTCACCAATTTTTTGGTTGTCTTGTCACGTTCTGTTTCAGTCACAAGCTTATTGAGTAGAGAATCTCATATTTCAATCTCATCACCCAAGAGCTATTAGAGATGGGATAAATGATTCTTGTCACGTTCTGTTTCAGTCACAAACTTATTGAGTAGACAATTTATTTATTTTATTTTCATATTCTATTAAGTCCGATTTAAAAAGTCAAAGGCTTTTTTTTAAATTTCTGAATTTCAGCTCAACTCAACAACAATCCCTCCCCCACACTTGGTCAAAACATTGTCCTCAATGTAAGAAAAACAAAATTATCTTAACCTAAACTCTCAAGTGAAGTGGAAGTTGTGAAGTCCGATTTGAAATCGAAGCACAACACATCATTATCACAGAGAAGAGAAGGGAGAGAGAGGATAAGATAATATGAAATAAAGACAGACAAGTATAAATCAAGTGATCAAAAGAGATGGCAAAAAGTAGACAAAACAAACAACTATTGAACAGAAATAAACAGCTATAACTATAACTACTAGAAAAGTTCCCTCCCCCATACTTACTCCTAACTATCTCAGCAAACTGATATCACCAGCAATACAATAGAAAGTAAAGGAGTAGGGTGGAAGGGAACAACCGCATGATTAGGGGGTCTTTGCTCCTCGTGGCAGTGCTTCAGCAGATGGCTGTTGACTTGTGAAGTTATACAGGTCTCCTCATCTACAAGCTCTATCGTACCAAATGGGGTATATTTTAGTAACTCTAAATAGATCTTCCTATTTGGTGACAAACTTCTCGAGCATTAGCTTCAACCTGGCTTTAAACTTTAGAACCTTATCACCTTCATGAAACCATTTCCTCAGAATCTGTTTGTCATGAATCATTTTCAATTTTTCTTTGTAGATTATGGCATTATTATAGGACTCAAGTCTTATTTCTTCAAGTTCTTGGAGTTGCATCTTCTGATTGACAAGTGAAGATTCGAGATCTGCATCACAGGCCTTGATTGCCCAATAAGATTTGTGCTCAATCTCCATAGGTAGATGGCAAGCCTTGCCATAGAGCAACTAGAAGGGAGACATTCCTATAGAGGTCTTGTAGGTGTTCGCCAAACAGCTTAACTGCAAGCGGACAAATCGCAAGTAACATAAAAAGTATCATTCCCTCATAGGCTAAGCTAGATGAGTTAAAAATCATAATTGTGTTCTTGATTAGGTTAAGTGAATCAAAAGTTGTAAAAGAGTTTGTGAAATGAGATCAGAAAAACAAAGATTTAAATCTAAATAAATTCACTTGACTTTAAGACAAATAAAGGTCTAGGGTTATTTTTCACTAATATGCTTCATAAAACTTGATTAATCACTTCTCAAATAGTAGTTAACAATAAGTTTAGTTAGCCCAGGGTTCACAGAATTGATTAAACTTTCTCAAGTCAAAACCAAGTTTTGCAATCTCAATTAAACACAGCAATCTCTTACATTTGTTTGAAAAGGTTGTACTTTGAAAACCAAAACCCACTACAAAAAAACAGCGAATTAGCGACGGAATTTGCGACGGAAATTCCATCGCTAATTTTTTTGACAGATTAGCGACAGAATTTCTGTTCGTTGCTAAATTCTGTCGCTAATCCGTATTTAGCGACGGAATTAGCGACGGAATCTTTTTCTGTCAGACAATTCTATCGCTAATTCGTCAAAAAAATTAGCGACGGAAATTCCGTTGCAATTCCGTCAGAAATTAGTGATGGAATTTGTTTCCGTCGCAAAGTTTAAGAAAATAAACTACATAGGATATATATACAAGTAGGAAAATACTGTTTATCATAATCTATTTAAATCATTTAATTTTTTATATAAAATAATTTATTAGATTTTATTATAGTAGTTATTTTTTGAATTTTTTGAATAACAAGATTTTTTGACTAATTGTAAATGATTTTCTTCAAATATATAAACCTCATATACATATATAATATAATGTAATATAATATATATATATATATAATTAAATTGTATATCTTATCAATGTTAATTAAAAAATAAATTTAAAAATTATTTATGATGTAAAATTCAAAATTAGTGTCGTTAGAAATTAAAATTATATTAAAAATATTTTTAAAAAATAAAAAATTATAAAAATAGTAAAACAAATATTTAAAAATTATTTTTTCATTAAAATAGTTATTATTAAAATTATCATATAGTCTATTTTTAGTTTTTAATAATATATATGTATATATAATTAAATGTGTAAAATAATATAATATATATTTAATTTTACATAATAAGTCAATAGGTTCATTGCAGTTCAACTGGTAAAGTCGCACATACGCACGGAGGAGGTCCTGGGTTCAAGCCATGGAGAAGTCACTTTGAGAAGGGAATTATGTGGTGGTGACACGTGGCGCACACGTGGGTGGCAGAGGTGTGACACGTGGCAGGCACACGTGGCATGCATAGGTGTGACACGTGGCGCACATGTGGCAGTAGATGTGAGGTGGCAGCGACACATGGAGGTGTTCTCAGTGATGACGTGGCAATTGGTAGAGGTGCCACGTACGTGGCATTTTATTTTATTTTTGAAAAAATCGAGTTAGCGACAGATTAGCGACGGAATTCAAAATTCCATCGCTAATCAATTAGCGACAGAGGAATTAGCAATGAAAAAATTTCGTCACTAATTCTGTCGCTAATCCGTCGCTAATTCCGTCACTAAATGTAAAAATCCGTCGCTAAATGTAAAATTCCGTCGCTAAAACCATGTTTTTTTGTAGTGACCCCTTTTTAGGCTATGCTAGGTTAATAGATATATCTCTATTCTATCAACAAACCTTCCAATTAATAAGATAAATTTTTGGACTAACATGTTTTTACAAAGTTCACAGATTAATTTAACTTTCTCAAGCTTCAACCAATCAACTAATCAATCCAAATGATGGCCAGTCGTAAGAAAGCATTAAGATCAAG